GTGACGGTTGCTATGAAACTCAGCCAACTTGAAACATTGCTTAATTTGGGTGACAACATCAAACAAAAATCACAATCAGGAGACGCGTGTGCAAAGATGGCATAACCATGTGCAAAATATTTAGCACACGGCGTATGCAAAATACCGTTTTCAGAGCGTGTTTTCCGTGCGCAAAACCCCGGTTTGCAAGGCAGTCGTATAAAAATATATTTACAAAATTTGGTTGTTCTGTATTAAGACATTGCTTTGGTTCTTTTAGGACATTTTCTGAGACCAGTATCCCCGCAACAGTAGGTATGAGAAATAAAATTCATATAAAAATCTACTTGTTTTGGTGTCCTCTACACGCACCTGTTCTATGTTCATTCAGTTGCGAATCACCCTGTATCTACCTCTGGGTTCAAAGAATTTTTCTAGGATGTCATAGACAGTCATTTGAATATCAAGCTCATTTTTCACGTGNGCAGCAGTTTCGAACATATTTCGCTTGCTTTCTGTAAAATCTCTTCAGAATCACACATTTTCACACCCAAACTTCGGGAATTCAACAATTTTTGAAGTATCTAATCAACAAAATAAAGGAGCCGTGACGGTTGCTATGAAACTCAGGCATCTTGAAACATTGCTTAATTTGGGTGACAACATCAAACAAAAATCACAATCAGGAGACGCGTGTGCAAAGATGGCACAACCGTGTGCAAAATGTTTAGCACACGGCGTATGCAAAATACCGTTTTCAGAGCGTGTTTTCCGTGCGCAAAACCCCTATTTGCAAGGCAGTCGTATAAATATATATTTACAAAATTTGGTTGTTCTGTATTAGGATATTGCTTTGGTTCTTTTAGGACATTTTCTGAGACCAATATCCCCGCAACAGTAGGTATGAGAAAAAAAAATCATTTAAAAAATCAACTTGTTTTGGTGTCCTCCACACACACCTGTTCTATATTCATTCAGTTGCGAATCACCCTGTATCTATCTCTGGGTTCAAAGAATTTTTCTAGGATGTCATAGATAGTCATTTGAATATCAAGCTCATTTTTCACGTGAAATAATGTGGAATAACAACCTACTGGAAACCAACTTCATTTAATTCAATTAAACAGTAGTAAGGCCTAAATTATAAAAACAACGGTGTAACATTAAAATATCTTTGACATATGTTTCCAATGCATTCTTACCATGAGAAACAAAACCGCTACGATCTTAGGCATCATCCCAACATAACTTTTTATTGCATCTGCAATGCCTTCCAAGTATTTTCTAGGAAGTTAACTTTGTGAATAAAGCAGATTCATTTTTTAATAATTTTTGGTATCTTTCAGGCAAACCTACCAAACTGCCCAAAGAAATAACAGATATGGACATCACAGCGCAAGCCATGATCTTCTTCTTCGCTGGCTTCGATGGTGTTTCAGGCCTTATGTGTTTCCTGACCTATGAACTAACTGTCAATCCTGACGTGCAGGATAAGTTGAGGGAGGAGATCCGATCTACTCTAGAGGAGTGTGGAGGAAAACTCACATATGAAGGTCTTCTCAAGATGAAGTACATGGATATGGTCGTTTCAGGTTAATAGAGTTTTTTATAAAAAAATTGTTGTTTAATATGACAGCTGTGTTATGTGCCACTGAAAACTTTTGTTACAGAAGCTCTACGGAAGTGGCCCATCGGTATAACCGCGGATAGAATTTGTACAAAACCGTACACCATACAACCAACCACACCAGACGAGAAGTCGTTGCATCTAGAAAAAGGCTCTTTAATTTGGTTACCCATCTTTGGCATACACCGCGACCCAGAATATTTCCCAGATCCAGAACGTTTCGACCCCGACAGATTCAGCGAAGAAAACAAAAGAAATATCAAACCCTACACCTACTTTCCCTTTGGTTTGGGTCCCCGCAACTGTATTGGTTCTAGGTTTGCTTTGCTGGAGACCAAAATCATCATCTTTTATGTTCTCCAGCATTTCGAGTTGGTACCTGTGGAAAAAAGCACAATTCCTCTAAAGATAAGGACAGGGATGTTCAATTTGACGGCTGAAGATGGTTTTTGGTATGGGCTGAAACGCATCAGCGTGTAAACCTGACTAGGAAAATTTATTATGTGTTATATATATTTTTTTACTGAAAATAAATAAGTAAATAAAGTAAACAATGTTTTCGTATGAAAGTCGGATAGAAGTTTATCTATGGGTTTTAGTAACCTTCCAAATTGTGAGAAATGTCTCCAAATAATAAATTAACAAGGTATAGGACTTTCTTTCCACAAGAGCCCTCAGTTTTAAAATAGCAGTATACAGGGTGTTTTACGTCACAAGCGCACTGGCGCGCGGCGGTCAAAATTCACATAATCTCTTAAATGTTAAACCAATCTTATAAACATTTTTTATTCGGTATTGTTGGTCGGGACAATTGATCTGATTTCGTCTGCTTACAACGGTATCGGCTCTTACAAAGTTCGTTTTTTACCCTTGTACCATCTCTTCTAATATCATACCAGGTGTAATGCCAATTGCCTATACGAGTATTTCAATAATGTAAACAATGAGCAAGCACTTGACTGCGAATCTATGGACCGCACTTTCATACAGAACCGGATTCATATCATATTCCGATTTCATTTCGTGCGTATCATTCTCGGTTTAATTCTGTTTCTGTTTTGATTGTTTTGGATTAAATTAAGTTGTCTAGTGGCTGATAGAGTGGAAGTAAGAAAAACGAGTAAAAACATACCATATTTTGCATAGAACTTTATCACGTTCTAATAGCACCTGCTTTAGCTTTCCTAGTTACAGTAGTGATAGTAGTATAGTCCAGTTAAACTAAGTCAGTGTCAGAAGTCATTGACGCTGAAATTCACAAATTAAACACACTGCTTTAAATAAATAGTAATAAATACCTAATTGTTGCTAGAAACTTGAATCTATGTTAAAAAAATATTTTATGTCAATGATAGTATTTTTATGTTTTCTTTTAGGACAGCAAAAATAAATATTTTAAAACTTAAATTAGTTTTACTTCCAGTTAATAACGCAGCTACTGCCAATACTAGTTAATATTTAATAAATAATGCAAAAAAATATTTTTAAATCTATTTCGAAAACCTGGAAATATCAGGGAATTCTTTGGTCAAAATTTGGTGTACGCCCTGTACTTCTGAAAAGCTTGAAAAGATAAAAAACCTAAAAACAAAATGTTACTACTTTGATAACATTGCCAAAGGTTAATTCCGTTTTATCTCACTATTTTTTTTTTTTTTTAGCAAACAACAACGCATAATAAGTTTTAAGAAGATTATTTATCTCCTCGTCTTTATCTTTGTGATTATACGCTTAGATACGATATGATATCACTTATCACAGAAGTAGGTAAATATTTTTGTTTACGATTTTATTTAACCGTCAAAACATTCATATCTTCTCTAATTATGTTGTAAAACATACTGATTCGTAAGTTACACATAATACTTGCAAATAATAAAGTTCCATAAAATACTTACTTTTGTTTCGGCAAGCTGAATTTATCACTATAGATGGGAAAATAGATAAAT